TGCATTGTATTTAGTTCTTTTATAAAGATTTGTTTTTAGTTTTATGTTATGTGCATGAGTGCTGGTGCTTTGGAGGCCAGAAGGGGGCATCTTATTCCCTGGTGCTGGAGTTGCAGGTGCTTGTGCGGCCCCTGATTTGGGTGCTGGGAACCAAACCACTGAGCCATCTCTAAAGACAGTTCAGTTTCCCACCACTCCTCCAGGGTGACTTGGGAGCTATTGCTTTGAATTTACCTGAGATTTGAAATGTCTCAGTCCTTTGTGACTTTTTATTTTTGTATTTAGGTGAGGTTATTCTTATCAAATGGAAGCTTCTCCAAGTCTGCCCTGAATGCCTCTGCCATATAGTAACAGTCTTTGACAGTTTCCTTTCTTTCTGACTTGATGAGTTCTTGCAGCCGCCTGTATTTGCCATCTAGACTTGGAATTGGTCATTGCTTCAAGGAGCTTTGGCTCCTTTTGGCAGGAAATATATTTAGAGCTCTCAATCTGGGCACTGGAACTATTTATTGCAACTTCTTTGATTTTCCTTTTTAAGATAAGATACAACAAGAGCTCCTATCAGTAATTCCAATTCAGTCAAAGGACTGCAGGGTTTTTAGCTTAAAGCCATTGATTTTTGTGCCCCTAATGTTTTCCCTTATACCAGAAACCTCAGTCAGTCCTGAACTGTGTGATAGCTCACACCTGTAATCTTGAGAAGTGAAGCAGGACGGCTGTGCATTTGAGGTAAGCCTGAGCACAGAGTAAAACTTGTTTGAAAAACAAATCCACATGCTTGGTCCATGAAGAGCTTCCCAATACCAGCATACCTGTCTCCCTAATCTGTGGAGCATATGCTGCAAGATGGCCAAGCAGACATCTGGATCCATGGATAATGCCGGATCCTGTGTTCACTATTCACGCTTATATTTGCACACCTGTAAGAAGGCTTAATTTAAAAGTAAGGCACAGAAAAGAATTAACAGCACTAAAGTGGGATGGTTACATTCTAATAAAAACTGGGTAGATGTAGTTTCAAGATGCTGTATTGTGTTCACCCTTCTTAGGATGTAAAACTGTGCCTCTGTGATGAGGTAAGTCACCAAGTATTTGCCTACCACACAGGGTTACTTAGATACAATCCCTGTGATACTTTAAAGGCCAATCTAACAACCCAGACAGCTGCCAAGTGACAGTGTAGCATATGTGCTATGCATGTACTGAGCAAGAAATGGTATAGAGCCCACAAAGAACAGGGTGGGAAGTCATGAAACTTTGCTATACCACTCAGAAGGGTACGCAATTTAAAACTTACCAATTTCTAGTTTCTAGTGTACAAGCGCAAGCTGGGGATTGATACCAAGGCCTCATTCATGCTGTGCTATCACTATACTACTGAGATGCACCCTTATCCCCTCATTTCCAACTTGATAAGGGCGGCAGCTGCTTATACAGACATTACTACTGCCACCATTATGACCACTGGAGGTGCTTTTAAGTAAGGCACTTTTGTCTCTAGGGCTTGTTCTACCAGGAAAGTTTAGTCAATACTATGTTCAAAGACCAGCTATTGGTTATGCCACCAACAATACAGTATACCTGTTTTGCTTGGTTGCCAACTTCTGATGCTTGCTTTTTCATGTTCTGTAACTGGTCAGTCTTTTCTTATATTAATCAGTTTATTTATTTACTCTACATTCTGACTGCAGTTTCTCCTCCCTCCTCTTCCCCCAGTCCTTTCGCCACCACACCTCCTTTCCCCCAGCCCCATCCACTCCTTCTCTTCTCCTCAGAAAAGGGAAGGCCTCTCATGGATATCAATCAACCCTGGGATATCAAGCCACATCAAGACCAGACATTGCTCAAACTTTAAGGGTCTAGGGGCAGATCTCTAAAACAGAGTCACAGTTTATAGGCAAGTAAGTGTAGCCTGTTCTTGCCGTCTACTTTTTCCTCTCCCAGCCTCAGTACCATTTTTTTCCTTTTAAGTTTCTGAGTTGCTCAGGAAACTTTGACATTGTACTTATTCATTTAGTGGATCCTTAAGTGCACATAAAAGATATATGTATACCTTTGGTCACATATACCGCTGTCAGAGGGGAGGCTCTTGTGTGAGGATATCAGGGGATAACTTGTTACAAAATGTGCTAATCAGATTGTGCTGGCTTTGTTCAGTTGTTTTACTCCAGTCAGGAAAAAAAGTCAAAACTACCCCTGTTTACTAGGCGTCAATTGTTCTTGACTCTAAGGTATATGAGGATAAATTTCAAGAGGTTGTTTAACCAACAAATCAATCCTAGGACAGTTATGAAATAAAATATTCTCTTGGCATGATTCAAAGCAAGTACTTGGTGAGCACTTGAATGAATGAATCAGTAATAAGACCATGACACTGGGAATGAAGTGGAGGCATTGAAAGGCATCCTCAAAGAATAGTCTAGAAAGCTTTGGGATCCCCCTAGCAAGGAATAAGGTGGCAGGAGGATGGAGGCTGCAGCAGAGGCACCTGGCTGTTGAGACCCCAGCAGCACGCAGGCCACTCAGCAAGGGCCTTTACTCAGAAGAGGAGGAGAGGCTAAGTGGAAGCCTGGCCCTCCTCTGCAGTAGTGGGTGAAGCTGCGGAAGAGGCGTCACAAAACAACAACAGCAAACAGTAACCATACTTAGAAGTAAGGAAAGAAAACCAAGCCAGCTCAAGAGCAGAGCAAGAGGTCACCGAGAGCCTCAAGTCGTTTCAGTGATGTGGTAGTGTGGGGTGAACACAATATCTGCCTCTGCTGGTATCTGCTTTTTTGTTTGCACATCTACTTCTCTGTAAGAGATACTCAGTGTCCTCATTTTCTATCTTCAAGAAAAGTCTAGATAATATGAGAGCTAAGTGTCACACAGATCTGCCACTGACAGGAAGTTCTTGGAGTCCTGGCTGAGCTGAGGGCATAATTACTCTGTGTTCTGTTTACTGGATTACTAACAATAAATTTTAACTTTCACAAACCTTGTAAAATATCAATTAAAAAAATTCACATCAAAGTCATACTTCTGTCTCTGTCATGGCATCAGCATCTGCCCTAAGCTTGTGTCTTAGCTATAAACTTCTGGTAGGGGATAGACATGCTAACCTCAGTTTTTATATCCCTAAATTGTATATTTTTCCTTCAAGTCACCTTCCCCTAGACAGCAGGTGCATTAATGGTTGTGCAACTTTGGGGAGTCCCTTTAGGGAATTTCCTGTTTTTCTTTTTACATTTCACACCCATTCCTTGCTCCCGCCGCTACCATCTGCTATCTTTTTTCTCCTGTTCAGCATTGGCTTCTTCACACCCCACTCCCACGCCCTCTTCCATTTCTCTCCGTCTGTCCAACAGCCCTCTAGTTAGATTGCTCTGATGCATGTGCATGGATCAAGAGAACTTTTTGCTAGCAATTCACCAAGCTCAAAGGAGGCACAGAATATGGCAAGCCTTGCACCCAGACCTCTGTGAGCTTAAGGTAGTGAGTGTGCTCTAGACAGTGGTGGTGCTGGTTTGGGGAGCAGCGTTTCTTAACCAGACTTAAATGTTTCTGCATCAACATGCAGAGCCCTACATTTCTGTGCGTGTGGTTAAGTGTATGGGGAAGTAAAAATTATACCAGGTTAAGTTCAGTTGCTCTGCTGTTTTTACAACCATAAAAGAAAAGATACTTGTCTTGAAATTAAACTACAAATTTAAGTGTGGTTTTTTAATGCCATCCACTGAGTGATATACTGCCTAACAATGGCACTTCCCATTGCTGAATGCTGTTTACTAAGTTATGTACTGCCTGGCAATGGTACTTCCCATTGGTGAATGCCATTTACTAAGCTATGTACTTCCTAGCAATGGCACTTCCCATTGGTAAATACCATCGACTAAACAATGTACTGCCTGGCAGTGACACTACCCATTTCAATTAACATGAAAATCCAGTCCTAAAGATCTGTAGGTGCTTTTAGCCACCAGCCTGAGGGCTGCATACACATGGCCAGGGATAGCTCTGATACAAGCAAGCAGAGAATTGCATACTTTTACTTAAACCATTATGAGATGGGAAGGGGCTAACTTGATTATGTAGTTCACAGACATGGACTTTGTAGATGATAGTGTTATTTCAAAGTGTCAAAAGGTTAGACATATGTAGTAGCACATTAGTTAAATCCTCTGTTACAAAGTAGCAAGGTAACTCATTGAGCTTAACTATGTGAAATATTTGCATGCTATAACATTCTAAATTGGAATATTGATAAAAACATGTACCATTTATATGCTAGGCATATCATCTGCCGGGACTGAACCCTGCAGTATGAGTCTGCACATCTAGTTTTCATCTCAGTGCTTCGTTATTGTTCCACTTCAGCTCTTTTCAGGTGCTCTTAAAGCTAACGTAATTAATGCTCTGATCATTTTTGCTGTGCAGCTATTTGTATCAGGGTCTTCTTATGTAGTACAGACTGGCCTTGAACTCAGTCCTCCTGCCGTAGCCTGCCAAGTTCTGGGATGATAGGCATGCTTCACCACACCCAACCACACACCAACATGTTACTGCATGTTTTTTTTTTTTTTTTTTTGAGGTTTCTCTGTGTAGCCCTAGCTGTCACGGGCTTTGTAGACCAGGCTGGCCGCCAGTTCACAGAGATCCACCTGCCTCTGCCTCCCAGAGAGCTGTGATTACAGGCATGTGCCACTGTGCCCAGATAACTCTGAGCATTTTTTTCAAAGTAATTACTGACATTACAGTTATTCCAAGTAAAAAAGTAGAACACACAAAACTGCCACCAATGCCCCTATGTTAAATGAGAAATCCTTCACTCTTAATGGAAGTGAGTTCCTTGATTTGTAGTCAGGGTTCCTCTTCCTGTGTCCCTCCATCACAGCATGAACTCACTTGTATTTAGAGAAGGGCTTGAAGTGAGAGACTTGGGGTGCAGGCACTGCGGGTGTAGCTGCCATTTATTTACACACAAATACACTTCAGTTTTAAAATGCTGTTGTCTGTTATAGGACATGGATGCTGCAGAGAAGTCATTACAGACCAGGCTCACCCCACATCCGCAGCCTGCTGTGCTTTCTCTTGAGGTAAGACCCTGTTAACTGTAACAACTCCTAAATTCCCTGCAAGTTAAACGAGGGCTTCCCAGCTGTATTGCCCAGGTTGACTTAGTAAAATAAGCAAGAAGGGTTTGGTTAATCTTTTTATAGCCACAGTACAATGTTTTATATGTAGCTAGTAATTAAGGCATAGCATGATGAAAAAAAATACATAATTGAAACTGATATTTTTTTTTTAAATCTACATCGAGTTTGCACAAGTACATGTATAAGTGCACATGCATGCCCACATGCTGTGGTACATATGTCAAGGTCAGAAGATAACCTGCAAGAGTTGTTTTTCTCCTTCCGTTATGTGGATTATAGAGATCAAACTCAGGTCATCAGGCTCAGTAGCAAGTGTCTTTACCTGCTAGCCAACCTAGTTCTCTAATGGAATGAGTTGTTTTAACTTTTGAAATACTCATTTATGCATAGAGATCATATCTATCTCTATCCTGTGCTTTTCCTCCCCTCTTTAAAAGTAACCTGTTGAGTCCAGTTAGAGCTGCCGTATGTAGATGGATGTGAGGGATCCTTTGCAGCATGGCAAGCCTACCAGTTACCACACCCTCAACAAGGAACAAGTTTCCCTCCCCAGCAACTGCCCCTGGCCAGTAGTTTTTTGGTATGCTATGGGGCCTGGAGATGATCTACCCCATCTCTGCTGGGGTTTTGCCCAGTTTGCTCTTGTGTAGGTAACCACAGCAACTGTGAGTTCATGCCTGTTGTAGTCATGTCATGTCCACAGCATTTCACAGCAGTCATTGCCATCCTCTGACTTCCACATTCTTTCTCCCTCCTCTTCAAATTGCCCTGCAGAAGTAAACAGTGTCACTCCCAGAATACGTAAGCTTTTAACAGAAAATTGGTTAGCTTTCAATGAGTTATTGGTCAAGAAGCCTGAGAGGATTCCAAGACAGCAAAGCCTATTGCTATTGCCATTACACTTGGTTACCTACTATAAATGCATGGTAAGACTCTATGCTGAAGACTCTGTACATTTGGCTTCCAGACATAGAGAAGTGAATTTCTAACCAACAGGAAACTTCTTCTCTGCTGACCATGTTTCATGGTGTCTAGAGGTGCTGTGTCAGCTGCTGGGACAGAAAATACATCAATGGTCTTACCTAGTATTGAACCCTACATGCTGCACTACCAAACTGCCAGGCAAGATATTGCCTGCTGCAATAGTTTCACAACTGTTAAGGGGGTAACTAAATGCTTTCTGATTGGATTTGAAGCCTGGTCCACAGGATGGAACTTCTTGCTTGATACTGGAATCCTAGTTGAAAGTCCATGTCTATGGAGGTCGTAGGCCCTAGAGTATTGTTATTTTCCTAAGTGGACATGCTGTCAGATTGCCTTCCAAATATTTATGCGTATACCCATAGACCTTGGCTGCTGTCATCCAGGTCAGAGAAACATTTTTCTGCAGTGGGCAGCAGTCAGTGCAGTGTAGAACTGGTCCCAGTGCTGAGAAGAGACTTGGTGCTCATCCCTAAATAGTACATCAGTATTAACCAAGGCTCATGGAGCATAAAACAGAAATGTTATGAAAACATCTTGTCTTTCCCAGTCGTGGTGGTGCATGCCTTTAATCCCAGCACAGGTGGATCTCTGAGTTTGAGGCCAGCCTGATCTATAGGCTGAGTTCCAGGACAGCCAGGGCTACACAGAGAAATCCTGTATCAAAAAACAAAACAACAACAACAAAAATAAAACAACAACAACAACAAAAACCTGTCTTCTCACTCTTGTCACATTGAAGCAACTGCTCTGATGAACCATAACAGACATAGGTTGTGACTTTCAAGTGACAGTGTGCTCAACCAAAGAGTGCTTGTTGGAAATGTAAGGAGGCACAACTGAGTTCCTTGGCTGGGATGTGGCCAAAGTCATTCAGATGCATATTACCAGTATATATAGTAGAGGGCTGAGGCAGGAAACTGCTGTGAGTCTACACAGTGAGAGAATTAAAAAAGGAAGATTAAAAAAAGGAAGGAATAAATGTCTACCACTGTGCTTACCACACAATACAAACACTTCTATTAACTCTGCTTTTCAAAAGCAGATTGGGAAAATGGTTAGCAAAACTGAGCCATATTTGGTATATGGATGTGTTTGTGGTGGATGGGAATTCACTACATATAAAATAGTTTCATATTCTACCTCTAATGAGCTTTCTCAGATGTAATTTTCCTTTTTGTCCAACTGGGGATAAGAATAGACTCAAAAGTAGAGGCTGAGAATCTGCCCTTCAATTTTCTGTGTCATTTAGGGTAATAAGAAAGAGCAGTGATCAAATGCAGAAAAAACTCTGGCACAAAGTTATGCATTGGCTATGTCCTCCTTTGTTGAATTCACCAATGCCTTATTTTAGCACATACAGGGCCCACACAATAGTGGTTAATTCAGCCGTGAATGGCACAGAACCTCCCTCCCCCATCTCTGGCCTTGGATGGTATTCTGAGCTACTCTGGCACAGCAGGGTAACCTTTATCTTAAATATGTCAAGCTGTTTCTCAGACCACATGCACAGATGTATAGATATTTAGTCTCTCACACCATCATCAAACAGCAGAACCACTGTAGGTTTGTCATGCTCAGAGTGAAAATTATATGTTCAGTGCTGAATTACCCCCCAAAATACTGATAGTGTGGATCCAATAGAAAATGCCATCATGCGACATAAACTTGGGCCTCCTTAGAGGTCCCTCCAAGGCCATCAAAGCTCCTCCACACGGTGCAGTAATACTGTAGATGTCTGCAGCATAGACCACAGCAGACAGACATAATACAGCATCTCAACTTGTAAACCGTTTCCACCAAAATGGCTATGCTGTGTTAGTATTTTTTTCTCTCGTTAGAGAGGTCTAGAGAGTGGGAGAGATGGCTCAGCAGGTAAGAGCACTTGCTGCATAAGTCCGAAGACCTGAGCTTGGATCCCAGCACCCACTAAAAAAGCCAGCTGTGGCCTGCATGCCTGTGACTCTGGCACTGTGGAGCAAGGAATAGGATGATCACCACTGGGTTTGCTGGCTGCCAGACTCACTTCAGGATCAGACAGTGAGAGACAGGGCATCCCAGTGTCTTTGTTTCCATGGGCATGGGTGCACATACACCACACACGTACACCACATTTGTACACATAGACCACACACATACACCACATTTATACACATATACACAAATGTAAGAAAATTGACAGTTTGTCGTGTTAAGAATTTTTTTTAAAAGACAGGTGGATATATACCATCCCACACACCTGAGTAGCCGGCTTAGGATCCTTTTACATCTTAGTTACATTCCTCTTCTTGGGAATAGGTCACATCGTCTCCTGTTAATTCTGAGGAAATTGTTTGTGTATAATCTTTTGTGGTCATTTCAATATGTATAATCCAAGTTATGGGATCTATAATAGTAGACAAAAATATTTAATAACAGGCACCATAAATGGCAGCACTGTTAATAATCACATGACTGGCCACAAGAGGGCGTATAAAATCACAATAAAATTTAAAACCTTAATTCTGCCAGGCTGTGGTTTGTTGAGAAATTTAAAAATTAACACTAGTATGTAGCCAGCTTTTTTTCCCCTCTAAAATTAGCATAAAGTATTCCACAGAGGAAGTACACTCTACATCTATGTGTGTGAGAGTGTACACTCACACACTGAAGATAATAAACAGTCAGACTATTATGAAGAGCCAAGTTCAGCTGCTTGATATGCTTTCTTTCTGTGTTGTTTTTTCCAGGCTCGTTACTGGGCATCAGTAGAAGAACATGTCCCCAGTTGGGAACAGTTCCTTTTAGGAAGAGCACAGAATCCGATTGGTGGTGAAAAGCAAAGTGAGGCAGAAAACACCCTTCAAAATAAGGCGAGCTGATAACTTCTTCACATGCTACTCAAAAAAGTGTATTTATAAAACTATGTAAGTCATGACAGGAATTCTAGGGAATGGGTGTGCTTTCTAGTGTTTCGTTGCTTCCTCTGTGGAATATCAGTATAAGAGTCCACTGAAAAGGCTCCGGTTAGACTCTTGCCTGGTTATAGATTTGCCAATGAAAGTGTTAAAACTAATGCTCAGACAGAGTGTCTGTTAATGATGGTGCTAAATAAGTGCTGTGTGTGTTTGAAACCTTCACCCTTGTTCTCATCTAAACAGGTTAGCTCCAGCTAGTGTGGATGCTTTCTATTATTTACTACCGGAACAGCAACAAGACGCTGCTGGAAAGTCTGCCATGCTTAGCTGCTCTCATCCAATACTAGTCATATGGAGTCATAAGACTGTGTGCCTCAGACAGACTTTTCTGAGTCCTTAACTATTAAAGCATTCAATATGTGGCCAGTTTCAGGAAGACTCGGAATGGTTTGAGAAAGAATGATGAGAGCTGGGAACGGTTTCTGCATTCTGACTGATTTATTTGAGGATTACCAACATTGTGAAAACAAATAATGCCTTCCTCAATGTTATCCTTCAACTTGACCTCTCCTTTCTACTCTGTAAAACTTACAAGTAAAGTAAATAAACTCCCAGAGCTGTGGGCCACAGCCCTCAACAGAACTGCTGTGCGTGGGTCACTACTCTTGCACTGCGTGGGTATAGAGCACTTTCCTCACTGTGGCCCGGTGTCTGCTGAGGAGTGTGCACCGTTCTGCATCACAGACTTGTGGTTTTATCCTGCTAGCTGAAAGTTCTTTTTCCTTCTGTGCTTTGTGTTGCCTTTAAGACAGTCTCACTCTATAGCCCAAGGTAGGCTTGAAATCACAGCAATCCTTCTGCTTCCACCTCTGAGTACTGGGATTACAGGTATGAGTCCCTATGCCCAGGTCATTTGTATTTTTAAAAGAAGACACCGACACCGGGGTAAGTTAAAACACACATAAGCCCTCACAACAACAACAACAAGAAGCTAGTAAAGCATCCATTGTGCAACACGTTCCTGTTGCCTGCCATCTTGGAAATGTCCTGTTGAGTGGGTGTTGGTGTGGGTAACAATAACATTGTTTCCATAATATGTGCTGGCAGGTTAGCACACTTCTCTGCAGTGCTAACAGTTGTAACTAGGGAATAAACAGCACAGGGTGTCAGTCCGATGACAATTTCATCCATAGTGTCACAATACAAAATGTCACAAAATATTAGAGCTGTTACATAGCTATACAAAGTACCGGCTTAGCAGCTGAAGGCATCTTTAAGAGAGGAGACAGAGAATGGAGGAAATAGGAGCACTGACTTAGCGGCCAGAACAATTTTATACATTCTCAAGACTGTCAGGAAAACAAATTGGTAATTTTTTCTGTTACATTACAGTTTGGGCTCCAGCCATCCAGTTGATTTAGCAGGAAAATGCAGGTTTCTTAGCAGCTCCAAATTGGTAAACAGATTTAGATGTAGAAAGGAACATGAGGAAGGGTTTGTTTTTTTTTAAACATCTAGTCTCCCAGCATATGCACATAAGAAGGTGAATGAAGCAACGTGAAACTTATTTCTCTTTAGTCAAGTGAAAAAAAGGCTAAACATTTGTTAGCTAGTAAAATATTGTGTCAAGTAAGTAGGAACATTCCAAAATTAAACAGTGGTTGATGCGTTAACGTCCTCAAATATTTGAGCGTACACTTCCTTTGAGATCTGTAAATTAAATCACCAGTAGGTTGAATTAAAATACAGAATGAATGGCAATGTAACCCTCTCAGGAAAGGCTTTGTGTGTTTGTTTCTCCCGTACACTGATTGACTTGCTAGTTTGGTTTGGATCTATTTTTTTAAGGTGTAATCTAGTAAGCCTTACCCAATTTAGGGTAGAGAAGGTATTTAAAGGCTGCAGCTGAACCATTTTCCCATTTTGGTTAATACTTCACAAATTCCCAGAGATGACTTTCTTCTTGGCCTCTGCAGAGCTACCCCACCCCATCCTGCCTTGTAGACTGTAACAGATTGCGCCACATGGTGTCTGTTAAAAAAAAAAAAAAAGAAGAAGAAGAAGAAGAAGAAGAAGAAGAAGAAGAAAGAAAAAGTCCCATGGGCTCTGGATATCCCATTAAAGGGCTTTATATTTGTCATGGCAAATTAGCCTAACACAGGAATTTCAAAGCATTGATTTATGGAAGGAAGGAAGATATGCTACATAGAAAGTCTATCTTTTTCTACAACTAGGAATTGGGATAAGGAACGAGGAAACATCTACTCCTAACTTTTTCCCCCAATCAGTATTTTTTAGATTTTTAATTATTTTTAATTATGTGTGTGTTGGGGGTGTGCATGTATAGAGGTACTAAGAAGATCAGAACTAGAGGTACAAGAAGCCGTGAGCTGCCCCACGGCAGTGCTGGGAACAGAACTCTGGTCCTCTGCAAGAACAGCAAGCTTCTAAACTGCTGAGGCATGTCTCAACCAACCAAATCACAAATCTTAATCACAACAAAATTCTCCACGAGCATAATATACTGGATTTGTTTTTTTGTTGTTGTTTTGGTTTTTATTTTTATTTTTTGAACAATAGCCTTCGAAGGGAAGCCTTTTTTTTTTTTTTTTTTTTTTTTTTTTAAGATCAAAAGATTTTCTTCCAAAGCCTTTCTGGGCTTGATTGAAGCATAAATATTCAGAGCTCACTTTCTGCTGGAACATTTCTGATTATGAAATTATCAAACTATAATATGCTAAAATAAGAAGGAACTGTAGTTTTCCTCATACTTAAAAATGGGGCTTGAGAGATGGCTCAGCAGTGAAGAGCACGTGTTGCTCTTGCAGAGGACCTGGTTTTGGTTCCCAGCATCCATAGAGTGGATGCTACTATCTATGACTCTAGTTTCAGGGGATCCGATGCCCTGTTCGGACCTCTACACCAAGCTATACACGTGGTGCACAGACTTGTATGCAGACAAAACACCCATACATACAAAATACATAAATGAATCTAGAAGAAAACTCCTGGGTTATCAATATCAAGGAAAAAGCCTTTAACTGTGGAGCCCTCTAAAGAGAGCACTGGGTGGAGGTGGAGTCTGCTCTCCGTGCCACCACCGACCAGCAGGAGTGCTTCGGCTCGTCGGCCTGTGGAACAGCAGCTTGCCTTTGCTTACAGCTTTGACCCCTGCCTCACTCTTCTGATCCATTAGAATAAAAAACGTGAGCAGGGGAGTATATTTATGTTTGGATAAAATTTAAACTTGTATTTTCTCACTTCTCATGTGGCTGGAGCTGTGTGTGTATAAGTTATCGACTTCAGAAGAAAGGACCAGACATGGAAATCTGTGTGACACACATTCCAATACATCAGACTTAACGTAGAAGACCATGAGGCTGGCTTCTTTACAAAACAGATTCTTCCATTTCCTTCCCTGCTATATTAATTTACTTCAAGTCAATTCTTACCTCTTTGTCCTTTCAAAAAAGTGTTTTACTTAAAACAAAACCAGTCTACCCCACCAATTTTTTTCAGTCCACCCAACCAATTTCTCCTACTTTTGAAGAATTGCCCAAACAAAGTAGTTTTTAAACATTTTCTGGTAGTCATCTGCACTTCTTTCATTGGGGTCTTGAGATACCTAAGAGTTGCAGGTCTTCAGAGTAGGTACTAACCCAGTGGTGTGGAAGAGAAACAGAAACATAAGAGAGGAGACCATTTTTGAGAAAGCTTCAGACTGGAATGAGAGGGCTCCACTCCCCCTCCCCCTGCCGGGTATTGTTTGTTTCCCTTATAGTTTAGAAGTTAATTTGTCTACGTAGGAAATTGAATCCCTCGTTGCTAATGAAGAGTTTATGAGACAAACGTGCAGACATGTCAACCTCTGGCAATTTAGGAGAAGGTTGATGTGGAAAATTGACAGCTGTGCTTTGTGAGGCCTTTCTCTAATGGAACTGAATTATATCCTCACCAAAACCCAAGAAAAGGAAAAGAGTTCCCTTAAAGCCAGGGGCTAAAAATACTTCCGGACATCATCTAATCATATAGAGTTGAGTTTCCTGCTTCCTCTTAAGTTACAGTGATGAGAGGCTCTTGCAATTCTGGAAATTCAAATTCGCCTATCAGACAAAGGCAGACATGGAACTTCTGTGAAGGTATTAATAGCATGGAGCTTAACTGCAGTGAAAATCAACTGTGGGACTGAGAGAAAATCCTAAAATACACCTATCTTAGGAAGCGGCAACTTAACGCTTCTGTCTTAGAATAGGGATCACTTAACCTCTACTCTCAGCTTCAACGTGTTTGTCATTGTTCCTCCTTTCATCTTGGTTTTCAATGTAGAACATTTTCTCATGTTTTACACAACATGAAATACAGGTAGGGGAGGAGGACTCCCCCTTTCAGTGGACCAGGGGAAGGAGATGGGGGAAAAGAGGGAGGGAGGGTGGGGCCAAGAAGAGATGAGGGAGGGGGCTACAATAGGGATATAAAGTGAATAAATTGTAAATAATAATAATAATAATAAAGTAAAATTTAAAAAACTACTTGTCAAAAAAGAAAAAGAAAAATACAGCCAAATGTGAAGTTAAAAAAAAAAAAAGATTCTAACTTGTCTTTTGTTTAGGATATCTCTATTTTATCTGGCCTCCCAATATTATGTCATTATTTTTCGTATCTGATTCCACTTATTTAGAAAGTCTGTAACATATTTTTGAACTGGAATGCACTATTGCAGGCAAACAAATACAAAGATGCAAATGGGGGAGAGAGGAGAAAGAAAAGGCAAAATCAAGAGCCCTTTAAAATGTTAACTTCATTTGTAACAACCAAATACACATAAGCCAGGTTCCTGCCTTCTAGAGTTAAGAGTGGGGAGGCATTGCTCAACAAGGTTTCAGTGAACAATGGCCCACATCTATGTTTACTAGTCCTCATTGCCTCATTTGCTTATGAATCAGATTCATCCCATCTTTTGTTGATCATGGCCACAGGCTACACTACACTACACTACCACATAGCCTAGAGGGAAGGAGGCTAAGCCATCTAGGTGTGTTCAGGTGCGCTCCACAAACTCTCACAGCGAAATAGTCTAATAGAGCACAATCACTGGGCAACGTGGAGCTGTTTAACCAATCCTGCTTTTAAGAGGCTGGTGTCGTAGATATGCCTAAAGACTCCTTAAAAATCCCTTTGCCCAGGTCTGCCACCACCAACTCCTTGGTGAGCTAAGTTAGAGCCACAGTGTCCAGCAGAGCTTTCTACAGTGCTAAGAATGCTAAACTCGGCCCTGGACACTATCCCAGCACCTGCACGGATGTGGATTCGAGCACTGGAAATAAATCTAGTCAATTTGACTTTCAACTGTTATTTTAAGTATAGTTAGTGCAAATTAGGTTCATTAATCTACTTTTTCAACTAAATTTTCTGAAACCACTACTAATGAAAAGTTGGATTTTGATGGACATCTGCTACAAGTATAAGATACACACTGAATTTCAAAGGCAGTATAAGCATGATAATGTGGCTGGTTAATTTTTGTATTGATTGCATATTGAAATATTTCTAATGGAACAAATAAGCATAATATTACCTTTAAAATTTTTTTATCAAGTATCTGCTAAAAAATTCAAATGTTTACATCTGACTCACATATCTCA